TCCATGGCCAACTTTTTAATGTTGATTTTCTCCAATGACTGGTGATCTTTGGTGATTAGTTTATATTTATTAATGAACTGGGTTGATTAATTAATGACTTAGGATATGTCACTGCTATATGATTTCCTGTCATTGTATAGCTATTTTCCCAATTAACTCTTTTTTGAATAATAGGGAAAACTTTGGGTCCTGTATAAGTCAATCAAGTATGAGAACTGTGCATGAATGGAAGTGAGCTTAACAGCACACATGCATTAGTACACACAGACACACACCACACACACACATACACATATATACACCTCTCTCTCACACACACACAAACACACATCTTTAGTGCCAAAGGGAGAACAGTGAATGATTTCATTTTCTCTCCTAGACAAAGCTGATGTTTTCCTTTTATTCTCCCATCCATGTCTTTTGTGGAGGTTCCGAGTGACCTAATTAAATGAAAGTCTTCTATGGTCCCAGCACTGGACATCTTACCAAGGCAGGTGGCTCACTTCATTCAGTGTTTTCCTTGGGTTCACACATAGCTGCTGCCTGCTGTTCAGTATAAAGGGGCTGCTGGGAGGTGAGGCTGGCCCCTCTGTTCAGAAAACACGTTACAGTAAGTTATCCTGGCCATTACCCTGGAGCCCCTTACTGCCCTTTAAAATTTTCACTCTGAGCTTTGTTGTTTGCTTGTCTATTTGCTTTTTGTGGATATGTTCTTTCCTCGCCAGCAAGGTTGTCTTATGCTGTTCTTAGTCTGAGAATTTCTGTACAGTTATGTAATAAATTACTTACTTTTATTTTCCACTCTCTCTAATTTTGAGTGATTGGGAGTGGTGCACCCTCAGTCCTCCATCCTCACATAAGTTTTCTTGTAGTGCCTCCTTAGCATAGTTCCCACTTCAATATAGGTATGTGTTTTTGTTATTAGTGCAATACATATGCTTTTGTAGAAAGAAAATACAGAGAAGTAAGATGAAAAATAAAAGTTTCTAAGGTCTCATGTAAAACTTCATGGTTGTATTAATATCTTTTATATTTAATTTTGCAAAAGTTGGCTTTAGTCAGGGAATAGAATATTTTCATCTTATTTTGGGGAATGCCATTGTATTGCAAATGCTGTTAAAAATCTTAGAGCATAAGCAAGAGACCTACAAAGCAGCCCATGACTGTCAGAATAGACTCCAAATATGCTTCCTGCTTAATGAAAACCAGAGCATTTCCAGTGTCTGTGACTGAGGATGAAATTTTTATTTAGGTCATATGTGTTTGTGAGATAATCTAATGCATTTTCAATCTTATAAATGAAACAGCCTATTCTTGCTATTCATTTATAAATCATTGCAAATATAGTCATGATGTCTGATATTAAAGCAGAATAATTTTATCACTAAGTTGCATGACTTATACCTAAAATTAGAAGTTCATTTTCCTTACAAAATAAGAAATCTGTAGTTCTGAAGTTTCTCAAGGATCTGCCTTTTATTTCATTCATTCCAGTCACAAATCAGTGTTTCCTTTCCATCTGAGAACCGTTTTGTCTCTTTAGTTTTTGGACATTGTGTTCTGTTATGTCTTCATTTCCCCCCATTTTCTGTGTCCCACCCTCTAGAACACAGATTAAATGGTTGTTACTTTGCTTGAATTAGATTTCAATATCCCACAATTTTTTATCATGTTAGTTTATTTGCTTTGTGTTCTAGATGTCTTCTTTATGTTCAAATTAGTAATATTTTTCTTGGTTGTTATTGTATTATTTTTAGCTGGTCTCAAACTTTTTATAAATTTTAGCAAGATTATTCTTATTTCCCAAGAACAACTTTTTTTCTCTCTGATCTACTCATTAGTATAGGTAGGCATAGGTTCTTAACTCATAGCAGTGATCCATAAATCACCGTGAATTCAGTTATTGTAAGGAATCAAATTATTCTGATGTGTTCTTTTTATTGAGGTATAATTCACAAACAATAGCTGCATACACTTTAGGTATATAATTAAGTTGTTTTAACAATTGTTTGTACCCAAGCAACCACAATCAGCCAAAATATTGAGCATTTTTATCCTCCAGAAATTTCCCTCAGACCCTTTCCAGTCTATTGTCCTCCCACTCCTGTAGAGGCCAGCCCGGTTGTGATTTCTGATACCTTAAGTTGGTCTCACCTTTCATATAAGTGGAATTATTAATATAATACACACTTTTGCATCTGGATTCTTTTACTCAGAATAATTTTTAGATTCATCCATTTGTTGCTTGTATTAGAAGTTTGGTATTATTATTACTAATAATATTTCATTGAATAAATATACTACCTGTTGATGGACATTTGGGTTGTTTCCAGGTTTAAGCTATTATGAGTAATGCATCCATGAATATTCATGTAATATGAAGGTTTGTATATTCTCATTTCTCTTGGGTAAAGATGCAACATAATTCATATTTTTGGCAAACACTGATACCCACAGCCCCATCACTCATAGCTCTTAAAATCAACAAGGACTAATTTCATAAATAAAAAATAACTAAATTCTATTGCTTTTTTTAACAATAAATACTAGGTGGGTTTTTTTTATGTGTATCCTAAGTGGAGGATGTTCTCAAGTAAACTTGGTCCTTGTGGTTGAGCTCATAAAGAAAAATAACAGACTGCCATGTAAATACTTTTTCAGCATTTCAGTATCAACTAGATATAAATATTTAGTTTTCTCTAGTTATGTTCCAAATGTAAACATCTGTGTAGAGAACATGTTAGGTTTTGGAATGTGAGGCAGTAAGTGGTGCAAACAGTGAAATGTCTGCCTGCGTGTGGATACTGTCTGGTCAGGGACGTGTACATGTCTCCTCAGATGGCAGCAAGTATCCTCAGGTTGTAGGATTGGCCTCCAGTGCAGAGAGAATTTCTGATCAAGACTATGGATCCTGGTTGTTTTCTCCTGTTCAGCTCCCAGTCCCTCCCCCATAGCCCTGTGTATCAGAATCCTGTCACTCTGTCACTGCAAGAAAGTGAGATGATCCACCAAACACATCATCCATGAAAACATAGGGTGGAAAGGGTTCTCCAAGGCATAAGATACCAGCACACTTTCAGGTGGAATTACAGCTCTCCAGGCCCCTACCGTTCTCTGCAGAGTTATTGGTTTATGATTGATTAGTGTAGGAAGGGAGAGGGAGAGAGAGAGAGAGAAACATCAATAATGAGAGAGAATCACTGATCAGCTGCCTCCTGCACGCCCCCTTACTGGCGATCAAGCCTGCAACCTGGGCATGTGCCCTGACCAGGAATCAAACTGGTGACCTCCTGGTTCATAGGTTGACATTCAACCACTGAGCCATGCTGGCCCGGCCCATTTTCTTTCTTTTTTTCCATTTTATTTTTATCTACAAATTTCTATCAGTTGATATCCTACAGAATTCTTTACTGGTTCAAAGTGCTGTTAAATATCTGTTCTTGTAAAAAAATATATGTTTTCGCTCTGGCCAGTGTGGGTTGATTGGTTGGAGCATCGTCCCATGTACCAAAGGGCGCAGGTTAGATTCTCTGTCAGGGTATATACCCAGATTGCAGGTTCTATCCATGGTCAGAGTGTGTGTGAGAGGCAACCAATTGATGTTTCTCTTTCACATCAATGTTTCTCTCTCCCTCTCCCTTCTTTTCTTTCTAAAATCAATGAAAACATATCCTTGGGTAAGGATTTAAGCATAGATATATAGTTTTCTATCATTTTTAGTAACTTGAGGTGGGAGGGGATGTAGTGATTGTCAAGTCACCATCTTGACTTGAATTTCTTTTAGTCTTGTGCTTTATGTGTGTTTTTTTTAAAAAGTGTCTTGTTCATGTTGTAAAATAATACATACCTTCTATAGAAAATTTAGAAAATACAGTCAGGCAAGATGACTGACAGTTTTTTAAAAAGACAAAACTATATGTTTTCATAAGTATAAATTATATCCAACTTTGTAATAGGAAAGAATATTCAGGTCTTAAATTTCAGCGAAGCCATTGTACATTGAAGCAAAAATTTCTTTGTCCCAGCTTTATAAATTAAAAACAACTTGATACTATTGCTACTGAATTTTAATCTCTGAAAAAGGTTGTTTTAAAGCAGTGATAGCGAACCTATGACACGCGTGTCAGAGGTGACACGCAAACTCATTTTTTGGTTGATTTTTCTTTGTTAAATTGCATTTAAATATATAAAATAAATATCAAAAATATAAGTCTTTGTTTTACTATGGTTGCAAATATCAAAAAATTTCTATATGTGACAAAGCACCAGAGTTAAGGTAGGGTTTTTCAAAATGCTAACACGCCGAGCTCAAAAGGTTCACCATCACTGTTTTAGAGTCTGTTAAAAAAAAAATATGATGAGATGGGTTAAGTTTGTGTTTGGCTGCATGTAATAGAAAATGAAGAGTTGTTTTGCCTCACACAAAGGGACGTCGGCCAAGTGTGACAGAGAAGCTACATGATGCCCCTTAGCATGGACCAACCTCAGGTGACCTTCTGGCATTCTTCCCTGTGGCCATTGTCCTTACTCATACAAGATGCTTGGCAATTCCAGGCTTTCATCCATGTGCTGTCATGAGCATTCACAAGCTGACCTTGCTCTTTTGTTCAGGAAAGCCGTAGCTTTTCTGGAAGCACTCTTGGTAAATTACCCTTTCACCTCATTGGCCACACTTGTCACATGATCGCTCTTAGCTGCAAAAGAACCTGGTGATCAAGTTCTGTAGTTTAATACTCAAATCCCTGGAACAAAACCAAGATATTGCTAAGGAAAATAGAGCTTGTGGTAGGCAATAGAAGCATTTGCCACAGAGGCCAATGTCAGAGCATGTTTAGGTGGCTACAATAATGAACCCTGAAGGGCTGGATGCAATTGTTTGGGCTCAGGCAGTTGTAACTTCATAGATTGCCACACATATCCAACTGTGTACACAGTGGAATGCACAGACACATTAGAAAGTATTTGCTCGAATAAGAATGCACTTTCATTTCTCCATTTAGCCAGATGCCGCTTCTCTCAACAGTACTACCTTGTCAGATGGGTCCCAGGATGAAGAAGGGAAGTTTGCACTTCCCAGGAGTGGCTCTGTGGTAAGTCATCGCATGCCAAGACAATTGCATGTCAGGGAAAAATTGCCAGTTCAAGGCAAAAAGAAGCAGTTTCTTCAAAATAGATAAGGAATACTGTAAATAAGTTTGCAAGAAAACCACAGCTGCCAGTAGACCCAGGAACCTTGAAATAATTAGGAAGAAGGAGACTCAAAACTGAGGAGTGAATATATTTCAGTTTAAAAGAGGACTTCATAAATTAATACCACTGCAGCCAGAAACCAAAGGGTGTTCTTTACATCTGTCAAGCATGAAGGAATTTTATTAACTTTGGTCCTTTTAGCTGAATTCACACACATGATCTAGTTTAATTCTGCCATCTTAATACAGAAGTCCCTTTAATTGCAGAATAAGGTAAAACTCCTTATCCTTGTTGAAGTTTTTCCACTATTGCCTACCTTTCCAGCCTTAGCTCTCAGGACTCACCCATGCAAACCCTCTACTCCATACACACTCACTCACTTGGCCTTGAGTAACAGAACCTGTACTTTTCTTTGTTAAAACTCTCATCATTCCCCCTCTACCCCTTCACTGGTGTCTCTGTGTGGATGCTCTGGTGGGGGTGATACAATGGACCAGAAGTGAGAGCTCCTGTTAGAGGAGGCAGTGGTTCTCTGATGGCAAGTTGGTGGACAGAAACAGCACTTCAGACAGATGGAGGGGACACATTCAGATGCCCCTGCAGGACAATAGTTTCTCCTCTGTTGACCATTTTGAGATATCGGATGGTTGACATTCACATGCATGACACACTCCCAGTATATCCCATTGTTCAGGGAGATAATTGTATTATCCCCATGAAAATGAGCTTTTCTGTTGTGTTTTTAGATCTTTGGTTATGGGGTTGTTTTGTTTTGTTGTATAGTGATCACATAAGAAACATAAAATAATGTGAGTGAATTTAGTCTAATGAGTAAGTTGTCAGTGACACTACAGGTATTGGCATAGATAGACTAAGAATGACCCATACTGTCTAAACAACTGGCTATAAATTCAGTCCTTACTTTCCCATTTAAGTCCATGTTGGAGTGCAAATGAGTATGTCTCATAAAATGAACTCCAGTCTGCTGTACTTATTAAAACAAATGTAAGCCATTCACAAACTCGGTAAGTACCAGAAGTAAGTAGTTGCCTATACTATGCCTTAATACAGTTGTGCTGTGCCCCTGTGACTGGGGAGTCCTGCTTTAGGTTCTTGCCTACCATCCTTTATTCTCTGTCTCAGCTGGTGATACCCAGGTGCCCAAGATCCAGATGTTAGTCTCAGAATCACCTATCCTCTCCCCCTCTACATGCCCATCACCGAGACCTGTGGATTTTATCATTTTAAGTAGTTCTAGAGTATTTCTACTCCCCTCTTTTCCTACAACTACTTCCTTAGTTCAGAAACTTATTATCTTTCTGTATTGCTGAAATAGCTCCTTAAGTCATCTCTTAGATGTTTGTTTATACACCTCAAATTCACCTTTCCAACAGCTGCAAGTCTTGCTTAAAGCCCACCGTCCTTCCCCCCATCTTCTAATTAATATGAAAGCTCCTGGCATAGTCTGAGCCCTCATCTGCCTCCCTAGCTGACTCTGCCACCCCAGACGTTTTGTATGAGCCTCAACAAAGCACTGCCTGTGGCTCCAGGCGCACCCCAAGCAGAAATTGAAGTGGGATGTTTGCACAATTGAGTTGCTTAGAAAGTTGGTTGGAAAGGCCTTGTTTCAGAGGCTTTTCCGTGGCAGTTCCATGACCACTATTTTACTAGTAATAGGACCGATGCAAGTCATGTTTTTTCATTTCTTTATTCTTTTCTGCTAGCTTCTCCATATCATTGGTTGCTTCATTCATTCATACATTCATTCACTATTTTAAAAATCCTTAATGAATATATATTTTCTGCAAATAGGATTCTTGAAAATTTGAGAGTGTAAAATAAATAAATGATCTTTTATTGGAATCATAGAGCTTCCTGGGGTACATTACTTAGATTTTGGTTTTATTTTCATTTTGTTTTCTGAAAACTGATTTGATGCTGATAATGACATAAATAAAAGTTTCAGAAAAAAAATATATCTTTGGCACCAGTCTCCAATGTGACTGACTTTGGTTTGTTACTCAAAATATCTTTACTAAGAAATGTCCAACAATTGGTTATTTGCTAGAGCAGCCCGCAGAGGCCAACTAAACTCTTAATGCACTTGTATTGGAAATCATTCTAGAACATCTTACCAAGAGGTAAATACATTTTGCTTCCCCTGTTTTTGGTTATGGGAGCTACAGGCACTCTAGTTTGGTTCCCCAGTCTTTTTAGATGGTGGGATTTCCAGTAATTCAGTGAAGTGGTGGCACGGGCTTCAGGGGTCCTGGCATGATGTCTGTGAAGGTAAATCTCACCTGCCTAGATAAGTTCCCCGGGACATTTTACTGTCATCTACAAGACTACAGAGACTCCTGATAATTTGCCACATTGAAATTTATGTTATGGAATGGTATAAAGTAGGTAACCTAACTTTATCTTTTCCAAAGGAATAACCTTGGCTTGACCAGTATTTTTTTTTAATCTTTCATTTTTTCTACACACCTGAAATGAACCTTTATGATACATGAAATATCTATAAATACAGTGTTTATTTTGATTACTATGACTTTATAGTTTTTTTAAATCTAAGTTCAATCTCATTATTCTGCATCAAAATTTTCTTTGCTCTTCTTAGAAATGTTTTCTTTCCGATGAACTTAAAATAAGACTATTACTTCCCATTAAAAAAGAAATCTTGTTAGGACTTGACTGAGAATTTTATTGAATTTAAAGATTAATGTCAGGGAAAGAATTCACATCTTAAAATATTGTTTCTTATTGAGAAACAATGATTGTGTCTTTCCATTTATTTATGTCATCTGTCCTTCAAAAAAAGTTCATAATTTTCTATCCTACATTTTTTTTCTTACACATCTTTTCACTGTTTAATTACTAGGAACTTGATAGTTTTCTTTCATATTTTAAATGGTAGGGTTTTTATGATATCTTCTAGTTTGTTTTTGCAGATATATAAGGAAATTAATTATTTTGTTCTTTTACAAAAGTATCTCGTATAGCTTCCTTTCTGAAATTTTTTTTACTTATAAGAAATTTTCATTTTATTTTATAATTTGCGCAGATATCATCTGAAATACTGAAAATTTTATTTACCCAATTTATTTTTTCTTTTCCTTGTCTGACTGACTGACCACAGTCACTTATAACATTGAATAATAATTATGGAGATCTTTAGGTAAGTTTTTATTTTCTCGTGATATTCTACTAAGTTTCATCATTAACTAGAATGTTTATTCTAGGTTTCTTGCTTTTTATCAGGAATGGAGGTTGAATTATATAAAATGATTATTCATCATCTATTAAAATGAATATATTATTTTTCTTATTTAAGCAATTACTTCAGGAAATTACAGTGATAGGTTTTTCTAATGAACTGTAATTTTGTTGCTTAAATAAATCCTACTTATATGTCATATTATTCTTTTATTATACACAGAATATGATTTGCTACTACTTTAGCATTTTTAACCACTAATCTAATATGTGAGGTTAGTATGTGTGCATGTGTATGTGTGTGTGTGTAATTTTTTGTTATTGTTACCAGAGCTATGCTAATCTTGATACAAATAGGTTGTGAACTTCTAATGTTTTTCAATATTTGGTAGTTATCACTCTATTTTATAGTGAAAGAATTAATATGTTAATGTATTAATAGTAGCTAACTCTTATATAGTGCTATCTACCAGATACTGTTTCATGTAATTTTATATAGGATAAGTCTTTTACAATTCATAATACCTCTTTGAAATATGTTCTGCTAACATCTTCATTTTACAGATTAGGAGACTAAGCAATAGGGAGTTCTAGTAACTTGCTTAAAGTCACACATTAAGTGGCAAAGCCAGAATTAAAATTCAAGCAGTCTGGCTCTAGCATCACTTTTAATAATACCTAGCTATGTCATGATTAGAGTTTATGAACAAAATGTATGACCAAGTGCATCAAGAATAACAAATGTTGCTCAATGGTTATTGTTGGCCCAATGTACTAAAGGGTCTCAAGTTCAATTCCTGGTTAAGGGCACATACCTGGGTTGCAGGCTTAATCCTCAGCCTGGTCAGGGCACATGTGGGAGGCAACCAATCGATGTGTCTCTCTCACATTGATTTTCTCTCTCTCTATCTCTCTCTCTCTCACTCTTTCTTTCTCTCTCTCCCAGCCTCCCTCCCTCCTCCTCTCCCTTCCCCCCTCCCTTCCACTCTCTCTAAAAATCAATGGAAAAATATCCTCTAGTGAGGATTAATAACAACAACAAAAAAAGAGAATAACAAATACTGTGTCCTGGCCAGTGTGCTCAGTTGATTGGAGCATCGTCCCATACACCAAAAGGTGACTGGTTTCAATTCCCAGTCAGGGCACATAGGTTGTGGGTTCAATATCTTGGTGTTTGGTGTGTGTGGGAGGCAACTGATCGATGTTTGTCTATCACATCGATGTTTCTCTTTCTCTCTCCCTTCCTCTCTCTAAAATCAATTTTAAAAATACTATATTTGTCAAACTCTGTGACATCAAGAATGTAATATCTGTTAGGAAAGAAAGATATGAGCAATAAATATTTAAGAGCTAAGAAGCTGCACTTATTTTAACCTTGGCCTAGTTCTCTTTTGAGTAATTGTGTGGGCCGTACAGGTCTGAACTGAATGAAGAAACAAAGGAAATTAGATGCAGGCTCAAGAATTTCTTTTAATTCTCTTATACTACAGAACATAAATCAGATTGAAATGTAGGTAGACTGTATTGATGGTAAATGCTTTGTGTTCATCTTCCTTGTTTCCCAGTCTATCCTCGAGACTATTCCAGATATACCAGTTCATTCCAATGGATCGGCCAGCCCTGGACAGTCAGTTCAGAATTCCGTGAGTGGTGAGTGACACAGCCTCCTGCTGAACTTAAGCTATGTCTTCTCATTTTTGTGCTGGTGCTCCATAGAGTTAGCAGTGAATTTCTTAAAGGGAAATGTAGGTGTTATTCTCCCCATGTTGATTCTATCACTCCAGCATGCACTCCTTCCACCTCCAAACACCCTGTTCAGTCCCACCAGACAAAAGTAATAAAGCCAAACTGGGAGCAGAATCTTTTCCTCCGTTGCTACCACCATATCATTTAGAAACCACTCGCTTGGGTAGTGTCTTTGTTTTGGGGCCTCTTTCACAAGTAATCTGGATCTCTTAAGAGTTGCAAACAAGCCGGAAGTAGGCCACTCTAATTATGCTTCCCCTATAGCAGCAATATTAGGTCTAGATGGACTTAATTTTAATATCATAATAATATGTAGAAATATGCCATGTTTGGACTTCCTCTAGTTATCCTCAAGGCCTTTCATGAGACAAACATCCAAAATTGAAAACATCAATTAAATAGAAAATTTGTTTAGATGATGATTATAGACATTTATTCATATGGAAGTCTGCGGATACTACGTTACTGGGTCTGACACCTTTCCCTGAACGTAAACATTCTAACATGCTGATGGATTACTTGTAAATAGTTTGTGCTTATTTTAAAGTAAGTGGTATTGATTGATTAAGTGGCATATTAAATACTCTATATCATTTTTTCTTAGATGATGATTATCGGGTAAAGAACATTCCACCTGAAGCTGAAGAGCTGTCCTTTGAAGTATCTTACTCAGAAATGGTTACAGAGGCTCCAAAAAGAAATAAATGTAAGAAGTCAGATTTTAAGAAAGAAGACTATGTCTTTACTGTAAGTAAAAGCTTTTATCATTATTCCACTAGCTGCCTGTGACTTCTACATGGCACAAACTAGGATTTTTAAAAACTTCATTGGGTGTGCATAGAGATAGGGAGAGGCCAGGCATCAGAAACTTGGGGCGTTATTTGCTGTGCAGAGAAACCTGCCTGGCTGCTGCTGGCAGCCCTGGGTTGAGGAAGAGTCGTGAGGGTGTGTGTGCTTGAATATTGTTGTAGAGATGAAATAGGATCTCCACCTGGCTGTGTGCTTTCATGCACTTTGTGTCCTTACTTATAGGTTAATGCAGATTCTAACAGTATACCTACTTGTGCCTCCAGACCCACATATCACATGGGAGCATTGCAGAAAGTCATAGTCATAACAACAAGAAATGAAAGCTTATAGGACAGACACTAAAAATTAATCAAAAAACAAAGTCAAGAATTTATAATTTTATTATGGATGAGCAAGAAGTTCTATATCATTTTTTCTTAGATGATGATTATCGGGTAAAGAACATTCCACCTGAAGCTGAAGAGCTGTCCTTTGAAGTATCTTACTCAGAAATGGTTACAGAGGCTCCAAAAAGAAATAAATGTAAGAAGTCAGATTTTAAGAAAGAAGACTATGTTTTTACTGTAAGTAAAAGCTTTTATCATTATTCCAATGGCTGCCTGTGACTTCTACATGGCACAAACTAGAATTTTTATAAACTTCATTGGGTGTGCATAGAGATAGGGAGAGGCCAGGCATCATAAACTCGGGGCGTTATTTGCTGTGCAGAGAAACCTGCCTGGCTGCTGCTGGCAGCCCTGGGTTGAGGAAGAGTCGTGAGGGTGTGTGTGCTTGAATATTGTTGTAGAGATGAAATAGGATCTCCACCTGGCTGTGTGCTTTCATGCACTTTGTGTCCTTACTTATAGGTTAATGCAGATTCTAACAGTATACCTACTTGTGCCTCCAGACCCACATATCACATGGGAGCATTGCAGAAAGTCATAGTCATAACAACAAGAAATGAAAGCTTATAGGACAGACACTAAAAATTAATCAAAAAACAAAGTCAAGAATTTATAATTTTATTATGGATGAGCAAGAAGTGCTCCATACTTCATTATCCTGAAAGCCTCATTATGTCTAGGATATTATATCCTGATAGCCCAATACAGGAACTATGTTACATTGATCTGCCTGCTATTCAATAAATGCATTTGAGAAGAGTTCATGATATGGAGCCCTGAATTTCTCTGCTGACCAGGGCAGGCAGCATGGTGAGCAGGACTCAGGTAGTTACAGAGCTAAAGGAGGGAGTCATCTAGAAACAGGTGGTCTGCCCCAGGAGGCCTGGATCTCTCCCAGACAAGCATCCCATGATGGAGAGGAAGAAGGAGCAGGGCAAGAACTGTAAGACTCGCTGAGTGCCTTCTATGGGCTTGACACTGCACTAGGTATTCAGCTGTAATCATCCCTGTGATTTGTCCCATTTTTCAGCTGAGGAAACTGCCCAAAGAAGCTAAGTAGCCCATATCTAGTAGATCGCAGAAACAGGATTTGAACCTATGTGTGTTAAACTCCAAAAACCCTCTTGGTCTCTAAGCAGCCTCTATGGTGAAGGGCACATGGGCATTCTAGAGCAAGAGAGGAAGTCCAGTGGGACTCTGGTTTCGTGGGGAGTCCCTCAGAATCTTTAGAGAGAGCTGCCCAAGGGAGGACACTTGCCCCCAGTCCCCTCATCCAAGTGTGTGTCTCCTCCTGAAGTTTTGCACACCCAGGGTACAGGACAGCCTCCCTCCCATGAGGAACTTTGCATAGGGTTTAACATGCAGTAATTGCTCAATAAATGATTGTGGTTCTTGTCTATATTGTTGTTGTTATGTGTTGTTATATGGGGCCTTGGTCTCAGAAAGAAGATAAAATAACTAAACATTTAATAGCACAAGTTTTGCCCCAAAACACATCCTACATTTTGTTGTTTGACTTTTAAATACTTGGAGTTCCAATGAATGATTGTTGATTGATTGAATGAATGAATGAATGAATGAATGAATTGGATGGATTTAAAACCCCAAGGAAGCTCTAATTTAAGGAATCCCTATAAAGACTGTGTACCTAAAGCTTTGTAATTTAAATAACTATGGTATTTTTCTACTTTAACTTTTTTCCCCAATACTAGGTTTTCTGAGAGAAAAGTATTAGTTATATACTATATATACTAATACTTATATATTAATAAGAACAGTCTTGCTTTTTAAAGGTCTCATAGTCTTTACAATATTTCTGGATTGTTGAAGGGTTTTTTTGTTGTTTTAGTATATTTTTCTTTCTAGTATGGAAATAGAGAATATAACAATATTATTGTCTGCAAAGTGATAGTAGGATTATTTGGCACTTTCTTTGCATTTTTCTCTTCTAAGACTATTTGGAATCACCTAAATGTTATTTTGAAGGTAAAATAACTACTCTTTCAGCAGCATGTGCGATCAGTTTCAATTTGGAAATTACAGTATTTTAAACTATGCAGAGGAGAACAGATGATGCCTGATTTAAGCACTGATAGTTCAAAATAAAAAATATATTGAAAGCTCTCCGGGGAGTACCTAGATGATGTGGCTGTATGCCCGTCTCATATGTGCCCATGGTGTGTACACTCCATGCGATGCCTGGATGTTTGCTGTTGACCATCTAGGAGGGTCCTTAGAAGAAAGCAGTTTTTACGGTTGGGATGACGATGTTGTAGTATTTTCAGACCACTGTTTTGCTTCACAATTAGCATAGTAGTAACCTGCAGATGTTCTGAAAATTATATTCATAATCTTTTTATAATGCAGCATGCTCCTCAGAGATCTTTTTTTTTTTTTTTTGCAAATAGCATATATATTTAGAATGTCCAGGTAGCATTTGAGTGAAAGCATAGCAATTTTTCTTTGCAATAAAAAATAAATATCCTTAATATGTATTTTAGAAATTTATTGTTCAGAAAACCAGATTTGGCTTAACTGAAGCAGGGGATCTGTCTGCTGAAGACATGAAGAAAATCCGCCACCTCTCTCTGATTGAATTGACAGCCTTTTTTGATGCCTTTGGAATTCCACTGAAGAGAAACAAAACAGAGAAAGTAAAAGGAAGAGGTAATTAAGAAAACTGGTTTCTTCTGATTTTAATGCTTTGACACTTTGGAATAAGATAGTGTTATTCTGATTCTTTTTTCTTTCGTAACTATTTTCCAATGAAGACAATGGGATTTTTGGAGTTCCACTTACAGTCCTGCTGGAGAGTGACCGGAAGAAGGACCCTGGAGTGAAAGTGCCCCTTGTGTTACAAAAAGTGAGTAGAATATAGATGGATGGGGATTAATAGAGCCTCATGCTTGCAGTTTGCTATTTGTAAACCTGCTAATGGATTTCCCTTTAGAGTTAAGGACACTAAAGCTAAGCCCTGTTAGGACTCAGGCCCAGGCCATTTTCAGTTTCCTTCCATGAAGCCCCTGCCATCCCACAAGTACTTGGACCAGTTTGCCTTGCGGTGAACTTCTGGAGCCTGTTGACCATAAAGCATCAGGTGGTGGACACAGATGCTCTGTCACATGGCTTACTTTGGTTATATCTGGTTTACCCCAAATTTAAAAACATATTATTTGTGTGTATGTATGTGTTTGTGTGTATTTGGTTGTTCTGTCTGAGATAAAATATGACAATTATCAGCAATCTATTTACTGATCATACAAGTATTTGCTGAACTGTATCATAGGTTGGGCATTTCAAAATGTGTATTTGTAATCATTTAAATGAATTTTCCAAACAAAGCTTAATAAAATCTAAAAAT